TAGACATGAGGGTTCTTAACTGTTACCATTGTATTAAAAAGGTTTATCTAACTTGTAGATTGTGGAAACAAGAAAAACCAAACACAAATCAGTAACTTCCAATTTGCAAATTTTCAGAGTTGCAAATTACTAGTAACCAAGAATCGCAGAAAAATACAGTAAGAAAGGAGAGAAAAACAAGTAGGTGGGTCAAATGGAAAAAAAATTGTAAGGTGGTAAATATAAAGCCAAACATATCGGTAATTACATTAAGTAAGCAGTAATCTTTATTTATTTATTATTATTAAGGTATCATTGATATATAGTCTTATGAAGGTTTCACATGAGCAACACCCTACATATCGCATTACAGTCACTGTCCATCAGCAAAGTAAGATGAAGTATGCAGTAATCTTATTAAATCTTATTAAAGTAGCAGTTGGGATAAGCAACAAAACTCAAATATACTCCTTTTATAAGTGATACAACTTAAATATAAGGGTACAGAAAAGTTAAAAATAAAACAATAGAAAAGATATGCTACATAAACAGTAACCAAAAGAAAGCAGTTGTTGCTGTACACTTCTAAGTCCAAAAGTCTTATTTAAGATGAAAAGAGAATTTGTAATGGTAAAAGGGTCAATTTAGGAACTACAATTCTAAATTTGTATGCATTTAATCACATGGCTTTAAGATATATAAAGCAAAAACTGAGAGAATTAAAAGGAGAAAGATAAATCAACGATCATTATGGCAGACTGTAATATGCTTCAACAGCTATCGGAACAAGCAGACAAAAAATTAGTAAGTATATGAAAGACATAGACAATGAAAATTAACAAACTTGACTTAAGTGACATATAAAAGCACTGCACCCAAATAATGAGAGAATATACATAATTTTCAAGTCCACACTGAACATTTACCAAATCTAAAAACATTTGGGCCACAAAGCAAGGCTCACTGAATACCAAAGGACTGAAATCAGAGAATGTTCTCTGACCACTGTGAAATTAAGCTAGAAATTCCCAACAAAATAATTGGAAAATGCCTAAATGTTTTGAGATTTAGCAATATATTTCTGAAAAGTACAATCTCAAAGAAGAAAAGATGGATCAGAGAAGAAATCACAAAGGAACTTAAGTTTTCATGAAAATGGGACATAACAAAATGGTGAGATGCTGCTAAAATTATGCTTAGATGGAAACTCAGGTCTTAAATACACTTATCAGAAAAGAAAGGCTGAAGGTCAATGATTTAAATATCCATCTCAAGAAATTACAGAAAAAATGGCAGTCACCACATGGTGAAATGAAAGCAGGATATCATTCCTGATCTCAGGGAAAAGCTTTTAGTATTTCACCAGTAAGTATGGCTGCTTTGGGTTTTTACTTTATGTTGTTTTTAGGTACTCTATCAGATTAATGAAGTTCTCTTTCATTCCTAGTTTATCATGAGATATTTTTTGAGTCATGAATGAGTGTTTAATTTTCAGGAATTCAGGAAAAACATTTGATATTATTTTTTTCTCCCTCTGGTCTTCTAATAAGGTGAATTATGCCAGTTGATTTTATTTTCAAATGTTATACTACTCTTGCATTAAGGAAACAAACCAAATGTGGTTGTGATGTATTCTTTCTTCTGTATTTCCTGATTCGATTTGTACAACCTCATCTGTGAGAGAGATTAGTTGGTAATTTTCTTTTCTTGTAATTGCCTTGCTGGGTTTTGGTATAAGAATATAGAGGACTCAACTAAACTGGCAAGTATATTCTCTTTCTGTTTCCTGGAAAAATTAATCTATGACAGGTGTTTTTTCTTTCTTAAGGATTTGGAAGAATTCCCCCATGTAGCCATTTGGGCCTGGGGACTTCTTTGTGAGATTTTTATATTAATTAAAATTTTCTATTTCTTGTTTCTCTTTTAATAACCTGTGATTTTTCTTAGGAATTTGTTCATCAAATTTCCAATTTTACTGATTTAAGTTGGTCTTAATATTGTGTTACTTTCTACTTAATATCTGTAGTTTTTTATAGGTGAGTTTGTAGAAAAATTTTTTATTTTTCTTATTGGTCTTCTAGAGATCTATCCCTTTTTTGGGCCTTTCAAAGAACCAACTTTGGATTGTGCTGATTTTTCTCTTTTGTACTTACTTTGTTTTATTATTTTCTGCTCTTTACTATTTCCTTTTTCTACTTTCTTTAGATGAGACATAAGTTCTTACAATGGCCTTGGAGATCTGGTACTGCCTACTCCCACCTTCGTCCCTTTCCCCAAACCCATATTAACCATTTTCCTCACTAACTCCAGCAACACTGGCCTGTTTTGGGTTCTTTCTTCCAAAATGTCAAATGCACCTTCATCTCAGAACTTCTGCACTTGCTGTTCCCTCTGCCCAGCAGGCTCTCTCATCAATCACATCATTCAATCTTTCATTTCCTTCAAGGATCTGTTCAAACAGCACCTCTCTGAGAGGCCTTCTCTGATTACCTTATATAAAATAGGACCTCTCCACTGTCACTCTCTGTCTGCTTAACCTGTTTTTCTACTTGATAGCATTTTACACTTGATTTATAATAAATACTATGTAAATGTTGGTGTATCAGTCTTTCTACAATTAGACTATAAATTCCATGGGAAAGAAGTTTTGTCTATTTTGTTTATTGCTATATTTATCTCCAGAGTCTAAAACAATGCCTAGTTACTAAAGGCATTAAGTAAATGTTCTGAATAAAAGAATATATACACAATTTCCCTAGTGTTTCTAACTAAAGGAGTCAGGTAAGAAAGAAAAATAAGGTAGAAATATTAGAAAACAAAAATTATTATTTTCAGATTACTAGAAATTCAAAGAAGTTAATGCAAAATATTAGATGAAATGGTAGTAAGAAGACCAGACAGATACAAGATGGATATATACAAATCAGTTTTTCTACATATCAGCCACTGTCAGATTAAAAATCTAATTTTCTATAGCATCAAAAATATATAACACAAACAACTTGAAAATGTTTAAGACATAACAAGAGAACTATGAAGTTTTTTCAAACAGCATAAAAAAACACTTGACAAATTATGTTCCTATATGAGAATTTTCCATATTGGAAAGATGTCAGTACTTCTCAAATTATCTATAAATATAACTTTTCAGTCAAAATCCTAGTGTGTTTTTTTAATGGATAGACTGATTTTAGTTCATCTTTAAAAAAAAGACCTAAAAATAAGAAGCTTTTGGAAAAGAATAACGAAAGGAGATTTAGCTCTGTTAAGATATCAAAATGTAATATTAAGCTCAAATTATTAAAATTGGGGAATAGCATGGAAACGGACAAAAAGAGCAACACAGGAGAGAAATATTGAATACACATGGGATTGTTTCATAAGTTTCTCAAGCTCATCACTGACTAAACTGAAAGCTTTGATTCCCCTCTTCACAAACCCTACTCATTCTCCAAAACTCCCTGTGGAAGTGGTACAATATCCATTTGGTTCCAAGTGAAAAGCCTGGAAATCACCTTTAAACTTTTCCCTCGAGCTCAACAGCCAATCACAAACCGTAATATCCCTCAAGCCCAACATCTGGACAGTTCTGCAGATTTTACCTAAATATCTCTCACAACTCATACCCACTGCCACAATACCAGTTCCAGTTACCATGAGTTCTTGTCTGGATCATTGCACTGGCTTCCAATGAGGTTCCCCACACTCACTTTTGCCCCCTGCCAATTTGTTCTCCAAATTACAAACAGCATGATATTTTAAAAATCACAAATGTGATGATGTAAGTGCAACTGAAAACTCTTCAATGCCTTCCTATGCTCTTAAGATAAAAACCAAAATCCTTAATGAGATACTACTCATTAATGGGTAAATAGATTTCAGAAAGCTTCAACTGTACTAGATCATATCCTTGAACATAAAAGTAATCCGGGGGAAAAACAGCCATTAAAAAACTGGAAATTACCTTGTTAGTAAAAAGAACGTAGAATATTCTTAAGATCTATACAATTTGGCCCCTGCCTACCTTTCTGATCTCATTTCACTCCATGTTCAAGGATCTTCAACCATACTGGCTTTCTTTGCGTTCTCTGAATAGGAACTTTCCTACTTCAGGACTTTCTCAAGTGCTGGTCCCTTCATGTCCCTGCATAAAGATGCTTTCCTTAGAGAATCCCTCTCTCGACTGTAGGAAAAAGTCAGATCTTTCTATTATTCTTTCTTAAAACAACCAAATTTCAGAGTTTTCATTATAATTTTAATGAATCATCTATGAGTTTTACCCACTATTTTAAGTTCCATGAGGGCGAGGATCATGTCTATTTTTGCTCACCTTTGCATTCCCAAAGCCTAGAACTGTGCTTAATAATAGTTGCTCAATAAATTTTTGCTAAATGAATTCGATAGGAATTTTAATTACTGAACAGAACTAAAACATAAAGATGTCCTCTGGAGCAATTAGCGAAACTTAATACAAGACCACCCAATGATTGTGATTCAACTGCATTAGCTACTCATTCCATTATTGGGAAGGCTTCTCAAAATGTGAGACTATGCAGAATATGCTGTTTCTGGATAATTTGTTAAGTCAATCAGTTTCATTTTAACTCATCATTCAAAACCTCAGGGAAATAAGAGAAAGTACAGATTAAGTTTAAATAACCTTTTCCCTCCAGATTATATATTGAAGATAATGTAATATATGTTCTGGTATGGCTGAAGGTGTCTGAAGTCTCATCTCCCATTAATAAAATATTCTATTCAGGAATATACAGATTTTAGTTCTTTATTATTTTAAGGCTTTACTTCTATTAATGGAAAACAAGAAAGTTCTTCTTAGTCTTTTGGTACTTACAAGTGAAGGAACTGTGAATATCTGAACCGAGAGGTCTGCGATTGAAAACTCTCTGTCGTGGTCATCTGTCACATAATCACTCTGCAAACGCTCATAGTTCTATTAAGAAGGCAAAAAGAGGCAAGGAGTGCCAGCTATCAGTTACAAAGAAAAGGCAAGTACTACTCACCAGAGTAGGGGCAGTGAAGAACTGGACAGACAGAGCAGTCACGGACACTGCTCGCTCGTGATCATCCTCCATAAAATCTCTCTGCAACTGCTGGTAATTCTAAACAACAAGGGGGAGATTCACCTCTAATCCATATTGACCAAATCTTTAAGGATTCTAATGAAAAGTCAGTGTTGGAGGAGTTAATAAGATAACACTGCTATAAGACTGGTAACTGGAATGATTTCTACCTATTAAACTGTATATAAATATTGATGCACTGTACAACCTTTGCAATCCTGGGATGTTAATGTATACTGGAGGGGCTAAACCACAGCAACTTTACGCTGTCTCTGACAAAAACCGACTTTTATTACTTCTGGATGCGTATCAGAATCACCTGATGCTCTTTCAAAGCACACATGCTTGGGCCTCATTCTTGGTGAATCTGTTTCAGTAGGTTTGAGAATGGAACACAAACCATGTATTTTGAAAGAGCTTCCCAAACGATTCTTACACGCTTCCTTGGTTAAGAACTCCTAATTCAGGTGAATAAAAAAAAAATAAGTGGTTAAGCTTTATTACATACTGTTTAAAGGGAGAAGAACACAATTCAATAATATCAACTACCTAGAGTTCATGATTCTTAAATTACGTCCATACATACATGTTTCAACTATGATTATCTTTTCCTTATGTAAATTTTAATAGGAATAATACCATAATTCATAATGGCATAAATTCTTCAAAATGGTTTATATTCTTCATTTATCATTTCATATCATACACACTCCATAGGTAGATATTCATATCACCTTGGCAGGTAATGAACCAGAAAGCCTCACTGCTAGAATTTTATTCTACTGATAAAAGATAAGAATATCATTTATGAAGTTTCTTAGAATTTAAAATCAACACACTGACACATTACTATAAGCTACTAATTTTACAAAGCCACCAGTTGTGGGCTATGGTTATTCTGTACATAACCCGACTATTTTGTTAATCTCCAAAAGTGAGAAACTACTTACCCTTGCAAATCGAACAGCAAATTGTTTCTTGTATTTTAAATCCATAAGTAGACTGCTCATGAACAACTGATGATACACACTCCTAGCACCTTTTTACAAAAAGAGCAGATGTAAGATCAGAATACACCAAATAAGCCAAAATGACACTTCTGAAGTTTTTATATGATCAACTGTATTTTAAGTCTCAAGAGCAAAACTCTACATGTGTTCTTTAGTATAAAACATTTGTCATCTGCTTCTTAAAAAAATCAGTCTTTCTAAATATAGTTTTAAAAACTACATTATATGTAGGTTATTTAATTTGGGTCATGGACCTCAAAATCTGTCAAAGAATAAGACTGCCTGTGTTAATTCTAAAAACCATAAATACACTTACTAAATACCTTCCCAAATGAAAAAACAAAACCAAAAACCTTTAACATACTTATTATCTATATAGGTTCCTCTATACCTCAGAAATAGTTAAGAGACTCACCTTTCCACAATTTGGAGTCACTAAGCATCAATCTATCCACTAGAGAAAAGTTTTCACCATCTGGCCCTTCCTGTAAACCAACTTGACATAAAATTCGGCGAAGGCCATCTTAAAACAGGAAGAAAAGCAGTCATGAAATAGTGACTTCAAAATATTAAAATAAAATGACATTTACATAGAAATGTACAAATGGATCTACAGAGTTTTATATATTTTACTAAAGGTCAAATTTACTCAGAAAAAATAAACATATTAACTATTAACATTTTCACAAAAAGGAGTAGAATTCCACATTTTGCATTACACATCACCCCTTATTTCACAATTCCAGAATTTATGTCCATCAGAAAGGTAATGACCTCTAATGTGGTAACTAAAGAACAAAGCTCTCAAAAACCACTGAAATAAATTATTCTCTAACATCTAAAAAAACCTATGCTAATTAAACCAGATTATAATAAAATTGCTATATATTCCCTAATAACTGAAGGTATGTATACTATAAAATTGTGTTACTATTTAGAAGAATTCATTAACTCTATACTATGGCATATAACATTTTATTAGTGCTGTGCAAAATGTTCTTTATTAAGCAATAATTCACTGTATACCTAGGTGTACGTACTATGTGCAATGCCCTGTAAGACAAATTCCTGTTTCTTCTAAATGCTAAACTTAAAAAAATTGTTCTTCAAATATTAATATAAGCATGAATGTAACCAAAACTTTAACACCTTTTTGAAATAAGTTTTATAATTGAAATCACTGTTTTTAGTGTTCCATAATTGTGCAAAATAATCAGAAAAAAATGGAGTGAACTTTTAAATATAATTATAAATGCCAACAGATAGAAATTGTTCACAAGGCTAAAGAGAAACCCTTATACAAATATGAAGCAACAGGTAAGGTCTTTAAATTATTGATGGCAGATATCTCAAAAAGAAAATTTTCAGTAGAAAATTGCTCGCACGATACTATTCATTAATACTGTAGCACAGTACTTGGAATACAGGTATCTAATGGAAAACATCCAAACTAAAAGGAAAGAGGTCAAGAAAAATAATAGGAAAGACATTTAAAAGACAATCAAACATACTGTCCTAAATTTCCACACCTCCGTATTTTCACCTGTTAGTTCACAGTGTGGCAATGCTCTAATAGCTTTTCTTTATAGTAAACACTGGAATGTCATTTATCTGCACCACATCTCTCGCCTGAAGAATTAGTATATGACAGCATAGATCTACTTCTATTTTATTCTTTGGTGTTATACACCAGACTTGCATTTTTGGTGTTAGACATGAGGGTTCTTAACTGTTACCATTGTATTAAAAAGGTTTATCTAACTTGTAGATTGTGGAAACAAGAAAAACCAAACACAAATCAGTAACTTCCAATTTGCAAATTTTCAGAGTTGCAAATTACTAGTAACCAAGAATCGCAGTAGTTGAAACAGAGATATCAATATTAGTGTTTTATTCTTTAAACTGCTAAATATTTAGGTTTTATTTACAGTAGTATTTTACAACTTGCTCAGTGGAATGAAGTTCTACAGGATGTTCCATTTTTAAAAAAAGATTCTTTTATCAAGTTTGTGTGATTTAATTAGCATGTTAAAGTCATTTACAATCGTTTAACCCAATGTTTCCTGTCTTTATTTGACACAGAATCCTTTGTATGCATATAAAAAGATCTTGTGGATCACAGTTTGGCAAACAACAGGTTTTTCTATGCATAAAGGTATTATGAGAAGTGTTTTAAAACCTGAAATTAAAGCAAGAAGTTATTTCACTTGATATTTTTTCCAAAACAGTTTTGTAAGGGAATATGGGCTCATTTTTAAGTCAATTAGCACAAGCATTTATGAACGTACCTGAATATCCAATTATACCTCCCAGCCAAGACAAAAGTTTCAAACCAAAATTCTGATGTGCGACAATAGATGAATGCATAACTTGAACTTTGAGTGGCTTTGTCTGTCTACTGGTATTTCTCTTAAAAAGAAATGGCAGGATGAAAAAGACAAACTTAAAAAGGTTATTTTATAGAAAAAAGTCAATATTTTATTTACTGTAATTACACTCTCATCATTATAGAAAAGTTTTTCATGTATGTGTGTAAGAAAAATACCATTTGGCTTGCCTTACTTAGATCCTAATTTTCTGGAAGGAATCTTATGATTTTTACAAAAAGGTAAAAAGTTACAGCTTATAAGTAACCTGAATCTTTAGTCCTATATTTGAAAATCTGCCCCACCAATTATAAATTATCTGAATGCTTAAATTTGCTTATGTGTTTAAACTAATTGCTTAAATGCAATTATACACTTACTTAAATAATGTACTTCACTGAGAAGTGATCATATTATCAATACTTTAAAAAAACCTCCATACCCATCACATACTCTAGGTACCTCATAAAAGTGGAATCATAAAATATCTTCTTGTTAGTGGCTTATTTCATTTAGCATAATGTTCTCCAGGTCCATCCCTGTTGTAGCATGTATCAGAATCTTCGTCCTTTTTAAGGCTGAATAATACTCTGCTGTATGTATATAGATCTTGTTTACCCATTTATCGGCTGACAGACCCTTGAGTTGCTTCTACCTTTTATCTATTGTGAATAAACCTTCTATGAACATGGATGTACAAATATCTGAGACCCTGCTTTTAATTCTTTTGTGTATGTACCCAGAAGCAAAATTGCTGGATCACGTGGTCATTTTTATTTTTAGAGGAATCACCGCAATGTTTTCCACAGTGGCTGCATTCCCACCAGCAGTGCATAAGGGTTCCAATTTTTTCACATCCTTGTCAACACTTGTGATTTTCTGCTATGGTATTTCTTTGTAATAGTCATCTTAATGGGTATGAGATGATATCTCATTATAGATTTTATCTTCATTTCCCTAATGATTAGTAATGTTGAGCATGTTTCATGTGTTTATTGGCAATTCTGGAGTACTGCCTGTTTAAATCCATCAACACTGTATTATTCAACATGATTTCCCCCTTCTCATTTTTTGTTTGGATCATCTTTCCATGCTCCACTTCATCCCATCTCTATAACCTAGAGTAACATGGTACATGTCTGCATATTTTTTCTATCTATATATATATATGTATAGATTATAAAGATTTTAACTTGATTTATAAAAATGGGATACTAAACATCTTGTGCATCTTTGCATTAACTGATTTTTTTTTTTTGTTAATGACTCATAACATTCTGTGGTGTAGATTTGTTCAAATATCCCCTAGAGAGGATGTCCCTTTGTTTTTAATCTTCTGTGACTACAAAGAAAGCAGTACTGAACACTTTTGTACACACACTTCCTGGTACTATATTTCTACGGGATAAATTCCTAGGAGAGGTAAAATTTTAACAGATGCTGCTAGATTATTTTCCAGAAATGCTATAGCAATTTATTTTTACTAAGTATTCTTATCCTCTGTATCTATGATGGATTTCTAATTTCTCCAACCTAACAGATACTGAAATCTGCCTGTCATTTTACTGATTACTAGGTTAAGTTTTAATCTCTTTATACTGACCACCTAGATGTTCTTTGTTGTGGCTGCCTTTTCATATCTTATGTTCATTTTCTATTTTGTTATTTGTTCCCTACTTGATAATCTGTAAGTGCTCTGTTTATCATAAACATTAAAAGCCTATCTGTGTTAGAAATAGCTTTTCTAAATCTACTCTTTGTCTACTGATTTTGTTTATGGAATATCTTACTGTGTAAATTTTTCATGTAGCCAAAAAATGTTTCTTTTCTAACTCCTGGGGTTCTAGTCTTGGTTAAGAAGCTCTCCTCCCTGAGAATGTACCTATAGTTTCCTAGATTTTCCTCTTACTGGAATCTATTTCTGGATTTTCTATTGTATATTACAAACATATCTATGAGAACACCACCAGAGATTACAAATGCTAATTTTTTAAGAAAGGAAAAATTGAAATACTACTAAACATGTAAGAAGTATGAAGCAACAAAGGGGAAAAAATCCTTTCCTTTATCTACTCATTTATTGAGAACACTATCCCAACTGCTTTGTCATTTGTATATTATCTTTCTGTTTCCACACACAGACACAAATTTACTTTTTAAAAAATGAACTGCTAAGGGTATAAGCTATATGAATGCATTATGTCCCCTAATCCCTAAATACTTCAGAATACATTTTCTAAGAATGGGAATATTCTTTTACACAATGAGAGTATAAGCTCTTGATGCATTATTAAACTGAGTATGTCCAGATATCAAGGAAGAATTTCTTTCTTTTTTTTTTTTTATTAAGGTATCACTGATATACAGTCTTAGGCTTAGGTTTCACACAAGCAACACTGCGGTCACTACTTTCCCCCTTATTATCAAGTCCCTAACCTCAAGGAAGAATTTTTTAAATAAGACACAAAAGGTACAAATCAAAAAGAAAACAATAGTTTGCTACATTAAAACTTAAAGCTTTAACTCAATGACAGCACCACAGACAAACTTAAAAGACCAATATAATAAATAAGACACTTAGTAGTCATGGCAATGAAAATTTAATGGACATGATGCCATTCATATACATCAGATTGGCAAAAATTTTTTAAATTAAAAATACATAATTTTGACAAAGCTGTGGAGAAATGGACATTTTCATACATCACTCATATGAATGTGTTAACTGGATTTTGTGGAGACTTACTTGGCAAAATCTAGTCAGACTAACAATGCTCATACCCTAATAATTGAGAAATTCCATTTCTTGGTATATACCCTATGGTTGCAAATTAAAAAAAAAAAAAGATCTACAATTAAGTTTCAAATATGTATGTTTTAGTATTCAAATGTCTGGGCTTCATGTTTATTCAGAGGGTAATATTATGTTGGAATATGAAGGAAAATCATATAAAAATATACACTAGATCTTTTTTCCCTAGAGAAGATCAGTGTCATATTCATTTTAGTATTTCAAGTGTTTAGTATAGTGCCTGTCTCAGAGTAAGCCTAATATCTTAATGAATCAAAGAATGAGATCTATTTTACTTATTACTGCATCACTACTTAGCCCCTTTCCATTTCCTTTGTATAATATGATCACACAAAAGAATAGCATAAATTTTTACTGTTTGGAAACATAGGGAAGAAATATATATAGAGAGAGCAACCCAGTGTAGTTAGAATGATTTCAGTGTAGTTAGAATTTTTGCATCTAAGCAAGAAAAGGACAAAAGAACATGCATAGCAGGACCACTAGTCATAGCAAATGAATGAATGAATGAATAAAGTATCCTCATTATCCATCAATGAGAGAATAGAAAAATTATGGTATAATCATCAATGGAATACTTTACAGATTCATTTATCAACACAGACATCTAGAACAATACAGATAAAAGGGCAAGTTGTAGTATAATACATTCCTTATGAATCTTGTTATATCATGTTTAAAGGCCTCCAAATTATACATACATTGTTGACAGATATTTAGTAGATTAAGTATAAGGGCATGCATAAGAATGAACTAATGAATTAATGAAAGTTATATCTCTAGGGAAGGAGAAAGGGTAATTGGATTAAGAAGAAATAATACAGGGGCTTCTAAACTATTTAAAATAAGTTTAAGGACAATAATGTATAATGTGGGTACATAGGTGTTGTGTTATCTCTATTTTTATCTGTATATTTAAAAATATTTCGCAGTACATAAACTTACTTTTTAAAAAAGACATTAACATAAAATGCAGTTACATGGAATAGTTAAAAATAATAAATCCTAGCTTAACAAAAAAACTAAATGTGGGGAATAGTTTTCTTTCAGAGAAATAATACACTAAGCAAAACAGAATGAACAAAATAGCAGTAGACTCAGACACTGAGAAGGGCCTGGTGATTATGATGGGGGAGGGGTTGGTGTGGGTGTGTAGGGAGGGTAAGGGGCACAAAAATTCTCAATAATAATGTAGGTTGGTCACGGGGGACTGTAGTACAGCACAGAGAATAAAGCCAATGATTGTAACATCGTCTTACACTGACAGATAGTAACTGCACGAGTGGGGGTTACGATTTAATAATATGGGTAACTGTCGAACCACTGTGTTGTATACTCGAAACTAAAATAAGACTATATGTAGCAATAAAAAAATAAATAAATAAAAGAAATAATACACTAAATGCTATTAGGAGATGCAGCATACCTTGCTATAAAGTACCAAGAAACAACTTTCCTTGAATTTTACTCTTGGTGCTAAGGACCAGTTTAGTTCCTAAAAGTAACTTTCTAAGACATCTGTGATGGAGAAGTAGGAAGGCAGAAAATATATCTCACCTAACCATTCAGTTTCTATTATCAATTACACACAGCTTAAAAAAAACTATAGATAAAGCAATAATACATTACTCAAGAAACGTATCATTAAACATGATTTTTGGTTGATTGTGGCTTTCCATTTATATATTCACACAGAAAAATGTGTTCATAAACACCAAAACATGGAACTAGTAAACTAATAAAAGGTAATATAGTATAGGCATGTTTTAAAATTACTTACCACAATTACTGATTTTGCTTGCTCACAATACTGGAAGTCTCCATATCGAACAGACCTACGTCCCTATAAAAAAGAGATATTTAAAATTAAATTGTAAAAATACTATATTCAGTATTAACAACTTTTGAACCAGTAAACAAACATATAAACGTACAACTCTTCAATTTTTAACATTTACAATGTTCATTCTATTCAGTGATGAAAAGTAAATTATTCTTTTTTCAAAGCTATCCTAATGTTTTTCAAGCCATTAGTAAGTGTATTTTTCTTGAACAACACATTTATTCTTCTAGGCACTGTAATTTCTATTTTCATAACTGAGTATTTCTAATCACTGAATAGAATGAGGGTAACTGTATCTACATTTCCTCTTAAACTTTCTGACAACAGCTTACAGTCATACACTATATATTTGGGTGAATATTTAAATGAAATTAAAAATAACAGCCCAGACATATGTACTTCTAATTCGATTTTCTAGTAAAATTCTACTTATTATGTAACATAATATGATGAAACATACTATGTAACACAGTATGATAAAATTACTTACATCTCGATCTACTGTAGTTGCAAAGCCAATGGCCTCTTTTTGTGTACAGTTAACAGCTTTCTGAAGAGTATAAATAACTTGTTCATAGGTATGAACCTCATCATTAAACAGCATGCAATAGTAGGTGTCATTCTTCTCTCTGTGGGATAAAACATTAATTATTTATTATTTGTTTGCATATTATCTTGCTCCAGGCTGATTTATTAACAGTGTACTTTGTTCTAGGGAACATGCTAAGTACTGGACACATATCTGTAAATGAAGTCATCTGTGTTCCCATGCTCTATGACACTACTGTCTGGTGGGGAAGACATAGATAATGGATATATAGTTCTATGTGAACCACCATTCAGCAAGAAGAGTAGGATCTAGAGCAGGGTAGAACAGCTATGGGACTTCAAAGAACTTCCAGAAAAGTAATCTGAGACCCAAAGTCAGAACTGGGTATCAGTGGTTCTCAATTGGGGACAATTCTCTTCTACCTCCTATAAATGACCATGTGGCAATGTATAGAGACAGTTCTGGTTGTCGTGACTGAGGTGGGATTGCCACTGGCATCTAGTGCGTAAGGGCCAAGGATACTCCAATATACTAAATATACTCCAATCCACGAGACAGTCCCCATAACAAAGAATTAACCTGGTACTGAAAGCTGACAGTGTCAGTGTTGAGAAACCCTGGGCTAGAGAGGAAGGTGAAAGCAATGGCCCCAGCAAAGTAAATAGTGGGAGCTGAAGCACAGGGAGGATGGAAGACATTAATCTTGGAATTAATCCAAGGAATCCTGAAGACCTTACAATGGATTTTGATTTTGACATCCTAAGGGCAATCAAGGATTTGAAATAGGAGATATGGTCAAATTTGCCTTGATGTTTATTTTGGCTACAGTGTGGAGAATGAATCATGAGGGACAAAAGTAGATTTGGCAGTCCAGGGAGGGAGGCCATGTTGCCCAAGGATGAATATGTACCAGGAGAGTGGTAAGGGAGATGAATAGAAGCAGAACAATTTGACAGAGGGAGAACCAGCTGGACGTGAAAACTAAATGGATATGGGTGATTCAGGTTTCTGGATAGACGGAATGCCATTTACCAAGATGGGAAAACATTATGAGAAAAGCAAGTTAGATTCTATCCCCCCTCTATGCTGGTGGACCTAAACCTACAATGGAACAGAAAAAATAAAAGCAAAACTCCTTTATTCTCTAGGGTCTAACTTTGAATCTTAGATTAATAGTTTTCAATTTGGAGTATATGAAAATAAGGTCATGAGATACTAAGTCATTTTCAACATTTCCAAAAACGTATAGTAACACATCATTTTATTTAAAAAATACTTAAACCCACAACCTATTTAACTGGAACACCATTTAGAAAGCAAAAAGAAACACCATTGATATTCTTTAGACCCTTACTCCAACTCTTATTCAACCTTAAATATGAATACAATCCCAACAAGCCTGGGTATAATTAAAGTAAAAGAGAAGGGTGTCTGAGGCAAGCACACTCACACAGAAAGGTAAGTCCTTAACCATAACATAGCTGTGGCAGAATCCAGCTCTCTGGTCACAACTTTGCAGCATCTTTAATAATGGTGAAAATGTTAGGTGTACATGAAAAGCAGCACGAAGTGTGGAATACATTTTATAAAAATTTAAAATCAAAATGGTTAAAATTAAGCATTTAGTCAAACAGAAAACTCAAACAGCTCATTTCCTAATATATCTGACAGATGAAACAGAAAGAATTGTAGAGTTAACTTACCAGCTTTATCACACAAAGAAGAGAAAACTGCCTGTGCAAGAAACTAGTGGCAGAGCTTGACAGGGCCTAAATATGGCTATAAACCAATTCAACAAACCAGCTAACAGAGAGAAACCTCTACCAACCAAATGGATCACTATAAAACAAGGTATTGACCTATGGAAAACTAATTATTAAAAAAAGAAAAGATTATGTTCTATCCTAGCTATATTTAAGTTAACTGAAGGAATTAGGACTAAAACGGTTAAAATTGTGAGCAAATACAATTACAAAGAATAAATGGGTTGTACTTACAGTATCTCTAAATCTACTGGCAGTTCATTTTCTTTTTCCCAGGTTAATATCTCTACTGCATACCGAAACATAAGAGCAAAAATGTTGTAAGTTCTTGCTATCACATCTTCTGATAAATGCACAAGAGGATCCTGAAAGGATCCTGAAAAAACAAACAGGGAAAACACCCAACCATGTTAAATGTACATTAATTGTCCTCTTTCAATTCTGTCCCCACCCCTCAAAATACACTACTTACTATAAAAAGCTGATTCATTTTCCAACTTGAGCTTCTCTTCAGTTTGATCTTATATATTATATACTAGCAAATCAAGTTTCCGAAAACATTTTGTCCATAATTCTAATTACTGAATATATTGAGCCAAAATATTCAATGGCACTGTAATACCTAATAAATAAATCTAAGAATTTTAGAATAGCATTCTAGGATTTTTAAAACCTAACATCAAACCATCTTTATAGTTTTATTCCCTACTAATCCTCAATTTCCAGAATAAACAAAAGAATGTTATCTGAGGATAGACAAGCAGTATTTAGTTTTCTAAGTATAAAGGAGAGCCTGATTTTGAGGATTCCAAAGGTGAAAAGTCAGTAAAATCAGAAAACTGCTCATCTTAAAACTGATGTTGTAAGAATCACCTGTCTACTTTCTCTCAGCAGGTCAAGTTGTATATGCAAGTAACAGTGAATTCTGCACAGCAGACTCAGAGAATATGTCACGAAATTTCTAGGTTAATGTAAAAAAAGTATTACTAAAAGCATATGTTAAATTCATCATGGTATCTTTTAGTCAAAGTTAGCAAAATGTTTTTACAGTCTTTAATCTTAATGCTTTATCTTAAACCTAAACATGCTATTTAGGTTTAATGGCTAAACAGTGTTATGTTCATTTCTCAAATAAGAAAATTATTATGTTCCAACATCATGGGAATGGAAATCACACAGAACATTTTGTAAATCTTCACCAAAGATAAGCCTAGTGGAACTGATATAAAACAAATGGAGAAGGGGAGTAAAAAGAATGGAGGAAAAAGGACAAAGATTCTCAAAGGAGATGGGTCTAGGGCCTGAAGAATGTAAGGAAAAGTATGAAAAGAATTTTCAAACTCTTAGAGAACTTTTTATTTACAACTCTTTTAAGTAGACCATTTTATATGTCCCATCAAAATATATTTTTATCCTACTAGCAAGGTTTACTGTTCCTTACAGAAATGTCAGAAGTTGTTAACATAGTGAGACCACCTGTATGTACAAAGAAGGAACTAGAATCTCCTGAGGATTCATAAAAAGTGGGTATTAATGATAACACAAAGTTAAAACTACACCAAAATAGAAAGTAAAACCAAAACTCAGTTTTCTTGGTGATTTGCTCTCACTATAGTCATTCCACTTGTTATGATTATGTCCCATAATATAAGACATTTGGAGGACTGAAGAATTATGATAAACAGGATTTGTGAGAATGAAATGGTCCTAGGATAGAAACACTCCCAGTCAGGAATCCAAGCCAGTAAGTAGTGTCCAAACACAGTTCAACAAAATCCCAGGCCCTGGTAGAGATGTTTCCTATTTGAATTACAAATCAGTTTAAAAAAATACATAATTTTTATAATTATATATAGTTTGTATAGAGTATAGAAACTATGTTATATTACATATTGGGGATCACCAACTGGTAATTTTATTGCTACATTAACTCAGTTTGAGGAGGTCGAGGGATACAGATTTTTCTGCCGTCTTTGTACACACATTACCTTCTTAAAAATGGTCACTGATTAAGAATTATTTCTGCAGTGAAGAGAAACTAGGCTGTGCAAGTCTACTCACAGATGAAGTAAATGCTAGGAAAATACTTCTCAAAGTGCTCTTATCACAGCATTAGTCAGCTGGAATGAGTAAATAAATCACCATCTTATCCTATGTTGTATTATCAATGATGATTCAGTCATGGCTGTTTGATTATATTTATGTTAGAGAATGCAAGCCTTTGTCAGTAAGCCAAGTTTGATTTACTCCTTCTAACTAGAAAATGCAAGGCATACTGTTAAATAGGTTATCTGTTGGTATCTTAAAAAGCAGTGGGAATTAGGGAGAACTTTACATCTTTTATGTGATACACTTCTAAAATGTTTGAATTTTTGAAATGTTAGCATGTACTATATTACAATGAAGATTTTAACCATTATATGCAAATAATGAGGTATGAATGATGGTTTTCTTTATACTCTCCAACTAAAGCCAAAAATAAACTAGAAATGGAATAGTCATTAAAATAACCTATTTCATGAAATTACTTTCTAACAAATAAATAGTATAGATGTCAACTTATAAAAAAAATTCATTAACAATACTACTTTTGTCTATTTTATTATTGGGATTTAAAAAATCAAGAGTATCAAAAAAAATTCCACTGCTAAAAATGTTTTTAAAAAACAGTATAATGTACTATCAAAGAATTTCATTATTGGAATCTACTTAGGTTTAAAGCCCAGCACCTGCATTTACTATGTGAGACACTTCGGGCTAGTTTCTTAATCTCTCAAAAATGCAAGCTTCTGTGGCTACAAAAATATTGGTAACAGCAGTATTTATCTTACAAGACTGTTTTGAGGATTAAATGAAACAAAGTATAGCATTTAGCATAAGATTCAGGTACTAATAATCCCTGGTCTGCATTCGTATGAGATAAGAGCAGCACTAATAAGTGAAAATTTCAGACAAAAAAATCTTCATTAAGGTTTTGTTCAGGTACTATTTGTTACTGAATTAAATTTCATTCTAAAAAGACTATTGTAACCTAAGAATACATCCAGTATAGCATGACAGAATTAAAAAATAGATGTACAAAGCAGGTAAAGATGAAAATAAATTGAACTCAAGACAACATATATTTCTAAACGCAGATCATATAAATTTCCATACAGCTACTACAGACAGGCTGTGTTAGCAAACATTTTGCTGCTTCCCAGAAGCCTCAACAAAAGGAAACACATCAGTATCAGCCTGATACCGCAAGAAACCTAACACTTCCCAACGGAGAGACCTAAGAGAAATTTCTCATGACCCTTAAGATCAGCAAAGGAGACACTATATATCATGTGGTGGTTCTCAACTAGAAGAAGCCTCCCCACTCACCCCCCTCCACTGATCACTCCCACGCCCAAGGGCCAATTTCAAAACCTGGTAGTGCATTTATGGTCACAGTGATGGGAAATGCCACTGCCATTTAATAAGTGGGAATCAGGTATTATAAACACAATGTTTCTGAGAGTGTATACCTGGGGACAGCAAACTTTTTCTGTAAAGAGTAAGGTAACAAGTATTTAAGATCTTGCATATAGGGTCTCTGTCGTCTTACACAATTTTGCTATTGTAGAGGAAAAACAGCTACAGATAATACATAAACAATTAAGAATGGCTGTTGTAATAAAATTTTATTTATGGACACTGAAATTTAAATTTCATATAATCTTCACATCACAAAATACTGTCTTACTGTTTTTGACTATTTAAAAATATAAAAAGTATGTTCAATAAAAACAATTCTATGACAAAGCACATCTCAAATATATAGCTTTCTTCCACTTCAAGCATAGAATATAGAAGCCTTAGATATATGTATGAATTTAGTGAGTGGGCACCAAGTATGCTAAACACAATGTTATCATTTTAATAGCCTATCATACAGTCTTACCTTTGAAGACTTTGACAACATTTATCTTAATGAATTTTTAAATAGGAATTAAATGGCAGGGTTTGGAGGTTTTATTCTCTGTCAAGTTGCTGGAACATACATGCTCCAGGCAGGACCATATAACTTCAGCGAGGTAGATGATATTGCTGTCATCTTCTAAGCATTTAGGAAATTAACCAAAATCTGCATGATTTGACAGCTACCCCAACTGTGTGAGGATAAACCCAACAGAGTAACTGTAGATTCAGAACTTTTCTTAGAAAACTATTTTAAGTCTACTCTATAAGAAGGATAAAAAGGTAACAAGTCCTAAGTCTTTTTTTCTAAAGAATTTGAGGTGAAATTCCTGTAACATAAATTAACCATTTTAAAGTGAACTCAGTGGTTTTTAGTACATTCATAATGTTGCACCCCTATCAACTTCTATTTAGTTCTAAAATCTTTCTTTCACTTCAAAGTAAAACCCCTTACCCAAATTAGGCAGTTTTCTCCATTCTCCACTTCCCCAGCCCCTGGCAACCACCAATCTGTGTTCTGTTTCTACAGATTTATCTATTCTGGATATTTCATACAAATGGAATCATACAACATGTGACACCTTTTGTGCCTGGCTTCTTTCACTTAGCATAATGTTTTGGAGGTTCATCCATGTTGTAGCATATAGCAGTACTTCATTCCTTTTTATGGCTGAGTAATTACATAATATTGTGTGTGTGTGTATGTGTATATATATACACACACATATGTACATTTGTTTGTCCATTTAGCCACTGATAGATATTTTGGCTGTTTTCACCTTTTGGCCTTTGTGAGTAATGCTGCTATGAACATGTGTGTGCACGTACTTATTTGAATACTTGTTTTCTGTTCTTTTGGGAATACTGTTGACCCTTAAACAACAGGGGTTTAAACTGTCTGGGTCCACCTATGCATGGATTTTTTTCAATAAATATATTGGAAATTTTTTTTTTAGAAATTTGTGACAATTTGAAAAAACATTTTCTTTTCTCTAACTTTATTGTAAAAATGCAGTATATAATACATATTACAAAATAAGTGCTGATTCATTTTTTATTGGTAATACTTCTAGTCAACAATAGACTATTAGTAGTTAAGTTTTGGGGAAGTCAAAAGTTGTATGTGGATTTTCAGCTGTGTGAGCTCAGTGCCCCCAACCCCTGCACTGCTCAAGGGTCAGCTGTATACCCAGGTATGGAATTACAAGCTCATACGGCAAGTCCATGTTTACTATTGTGAGGAATAGCCAAACTTTTTCCCATAGTACTGAATCATTTTGTATTTCCACTATAAATATACAAAGTTCCAATTTGTCTACATTCATGCCAACACTTATTTTCCTTTTTTTTTATTATAGCCATCCTCATGGGTGTGAAGTGGTATCACATTATGGCTTCAATTTGCATTTCCCTAATGACT